TGTTGTGTTGTATTGTGCTGTGCTGTGTTGTGTTTTGCTGTGCTGTGTTGTGGTGTGTTGTGTTGAGACAAGGTTGCTCAGTCCTTCTGCCTCCACCTCCCAAGTACGAGCACAGGCACACACCACCATGCCTACAGTGAATTTTTAATTAATTTTAATATTGAATTATTTTTTCACTCCCTTTGGCTCATCTCTTTAGAAACCACTTGCATGAATTGTTCAACTTTGTCTTTCTCCTCCAGAGTTAGGTTTCGTTGTTTGCTTGCTTGTTTTTTGAGAAGGGATCTCTCTACTCAGTCCTGACTGTCCTGGAACTCTCCCTGTAGAGCAGGTTGGTCTTGAACTCAGAGATCTGCCTGCCTCTTCCCAAGTGCTGGGACTAAAGTTTGTGCCACCACACCTGGTCTTGAGTCATTCAAAACAGGCTTCCGGGGTCTCTTAGAGGCCAAGATAACACACTAGAAAATAGAAAATGGGAACTGGGTAGATGGGAGCTGAAAAGCTCCCCAGTTGTGAGCCCAGGCTGGTTGGGAAAGGGCAGGGAAGGAGGCTGCCCAGGGCTGAGCTTGCAAGACTGAGAGCCCGCAAGGTAATTCCCTCCATGTTTCATGTTTTTGCTATTGTTGTTGTTATTGTTTTTGGTCTTTCGAGACAGGGTTTCTCTGTGTCACAGTCCTGCCTGTCCTGGAATTCTCTCTGTAAACCAGACTGGCCTCGAACTCACAGAGATGCACTTGCCTCTGCCTCCCCTTGTGCGGCGATTAAAGGTGTGCACCACCACCGCCAGACTGGTTACTACTTTTTAATCAATGCACATATTTACTTACTTACAGTTTATTGTGTGTGTGTGGGGGGGTGCATGATGTGTGCATGATGGCGGTGTACTCAAGCCATAACATACATGTGGAGGTCAGGATACAGTTTTGTAAGGCCGGTTCTCTCATTCCATCTTTATGTAAAAGGAGGGGCTCCAGGCTTTCTCTGCAAGTGGCTTCATCTGCTGAGCCATCTCATTGGCCCTATTTATTTATTTATTTTTGAGGCGAGGTTTCGTGTAGCTAACGTGGCATTGAGCTCACTGTATAGTCAAAGAGGACCTTCTGATCCTCCTGCCTCTACCTCCTGGGTGCTGGTATTATAGGCGTGCACTGCTGTGCCTGGTACATGTGGTGCTGGGGAATCGAACCCAGGGTTTTACAGTTTACAGAGCAAGCAGTTTACCACTTGAGCTACAACTCAAACCCTGTTCATCTGTTTATTTAGAGATGGTGCCTTGCTATATAGCATGGACAGGCCCTAAGCCCACCATCCCTCTGCCTCAGGCTCCCCAGTGCTATAATTTCAGAGTGTACTATCACACTCAGGGTGCTAGCATCTTGAAGGATCGCAATAAAAGTTGATTCTGAGAGTGAGAAAAAACTGGAAACTTGAGCCAAGCGCAGCTGCTGAGGATAAACACCTGTCAACACTAAGACAGTTTGGCACACCTGCCTTTCTCCTCCAGGTTTCTGGCTTCCTGTAGCGCCCTCTGCTGGTGAAGCCTAACAAAGCTCTCAGTGTTCAACCTAAAACCTCCAGAGCCTATCTGCAGAGCTAGAACCAATCCATCAATACCTCCAACCAAGCAACAACAAAAGCGCTTGTGGGATCCCACAGCTCCAGGAACCTAGAAAACCAACAGTTTCCAGCCTGGGGCTTTTCCCAGTTTCATTCTGTGATTGAAAAAAAAACCTGACAGAAAGCAACTTAGGGGAGAGAGAGGGTTTGTGTTATCTTACAATCTCAGATTGCAGTCCATCGATCGGGAGAAGAAATCAAGGCAGGACCTTCCAACATCTGGTCACATCACATTCACATCACGGTCAGAGAGAAATGAACGTATAATGCTCGCTTGCCGGCACGCTTGCACTCTGCTGGATTTCTCTACTCTTACACAGTCCAAGGCTCCCTGCCTAGGGAATGGTCCTTCCCACAGTAGACTGAGTCTTCCCATGTCAACTAACTTAAGACAATATGGTGTGCATGCCTTTAACCCCAGCACTCAGGAGCAGAGGAAGGCAGCTCTCTGCGAGTTTGAGGCCAGCCTGGTCTATAAATCATTGAGTTCCAGGCCAGTCAGGGATACAAAATAAAACTATCTCAAAATAAACACTCATAGTCCCCCATAAACATGCCTACCGGCCAAGCCAGTATAGACAATCCCTCATTAAGACTTTCCAGGTGACTCTAGGTTGTGTCCAGGTGACGACTGAAGCTGGCCATCACAGTGAGGTGACAAATAATACCACTAGGAACATTCCTGTAGATATTTTTAATAACCGGTGGAACCGTTTTTGGATTAATAGATACAGATTGTGCCGCACAGTTTTATGTCAACCTGACACAGGCTGTCATCATCTAACAGGAGGGAACCTCAGCTGAGAAAATGTCTCCCTAAGGATGACCTCTGGGCAATGGCGGCACACGCCTTTAATCCCAGCACTCCGGAGGCAGAGGCAGGCTGATCTCTGTGAGTCTGAGGCCAGCCTGATCTACAGAGTGAGTTCCAGGGCAGGCTCCAAAGCTACAGAGAAACCCTGTCTCAGGGGGAAAAAAAAGGGGGGAGGACAATAGTATGATGGAGGGATTTAGGTCTCTGTATGATTCCACAATGAGTGGTTTGAAAACTGAACTGTTAAATGAAAGGATAATCAACTTAGTTGGGAGCGATAGCAATTGTCATTTTGGTAATTCTTGTTTTATGCCTTAAAAAGTTGTTTGATATCAGTGCCAAATATGAAAAATTGACTGATGAAATAAAATCCTTAGACAGACTAAT